CCCTCCTCTCAGCCATCCTCTTTTCTATTTCTGAATTACCATTGCCACCGCTCTTGCTTAACTGGGGGAGGCAAGGCAGGGGGGTGACTCAGGAGCTCTTACCCTACTGAGCACCCTCCTCTTCCTACAGTTGCCTCTCTCCCCATCCCCAGTGAGGGGCACCTCACAAGGGGGGCTACCATCTGGCAGCCTCTGCAGAAATCTTAGGGAGCTTTAAAAAGAGAGATTCCCTTAACTATGAATCCTAAGAGCCTGAAAGCTTGTGGAGAGGACTTAGCAAAATGTTGCACAAGAACCGAAAATACACTTTGTGGGAGGTGGAAGTACTTTGATTACCATTTCTCAGTCTCTGCAGAACTGTCTTAGTACAAAGACAGCTGACCTGGTTAGTGGGCTTCATGGGAGTAGTCAGGACCCATGTGGAAATGCAGGGCCAGGGGCAAAGGGGACACATATTTGTCTTTTTTTCTTTTTTTGAGACAGGGTTTTACTCTGTCGCTCAGGCTTGAGTACAGTGGCACAATCACGGCTCACTGCAGTCGTCACCTCCCGGAATCAGGTGATCCTCCTACCTCAGCCTCTGAGTAGCTGGGACTACAGGTGCGTGCCACCAGGCCCAGCTGATTTTTGTAGTTTTTGTAGAGATAGGGTTTCAACATGTTGCCCAGGCTGCTCTTGAACTCCTGGGTTCCAGCAATCCACCCACCTCAGTGCTGGGATTATAGGCATGAACCACCACGCCTGGCCCATATACTGGTTTAATGGGAAACAAGAGTGCTCTTCTAATAATGAGTGCTGTCAGCTGGAACCTGCTGCCAAGAAGAGGTGAGCTTCCCATTGGAGAAAGTATGAAAGCTAAGCCTGATTAATGAGCTAACTTCTATGAAATTCTGGGTTTTCATTATTCAGAAGCCTTTCCCAACTTTTCTTTTTCCAGCACCAAGTCCCTCTCTCATCCCAACATGCACACACCTGTGTCACTCCCCACCATGGGTCTGTTTCTTAGAGGTAAGAAAGGTAGTGGGTTCTCTCCTGATGAGCTGTGTGGAGCAGAGGGTAGCAGGAAACTCAGGCCACAGGGGAGAAGGGCACAGTTCTCATGCAAATGAGGTGGTTCACCCATCTCTCCTAGGTAACTCCTCTTCCCCTTCGCCCTACCAAGGGCACTCCAGGTTCACCTATATTCAGGGTTGGGTGAACTTTGAGGAATAAGTTGGGGCATCCTATGATGCAGAACAGCTACTTGGAAACCAATACAAATACTCCTTTTGGAGAGGTGGGAGGTAAAAGAAATTAGAATCCTTTTTCTAATGTCCACATCTTTGCCATGATCAAAAGCTTATGTTTTCCTCTTTCTTTCTACCTGATAAAATTCAGTTCATCCTTCAAAATCCAAGATGAGCACTACCTCCTCTGCGACGCCAGCCTTGACCTCTTCAGGTGAGATTAAGGGCCTCCACCTGGGCTCCCTCTGCCTTTGTGCTGCTGAAACTATTCCTCTGCCTCTCCTGTTCTGGTCCAGCCAACTCCTAAGTGAGGTGCACTGTGGTACAGAAAGAAAATATTTAGAAACCTCAGTTTATTCATTTCTAGCCTACACTTTATGAAAATTTATATTATTGAATACCTATAGTGTACATATTAGTACAACAATATGCATATACTTATAAATATGGGAACTGCACACTCAAAAACCTTGTACTGGGCCAGGCATGGTGGCTTACGTCTGTAATCCCAGAACTTTGGGAGGCCAAGGAGAGCAGATTACTTGATGTTAGGAGTTCGAGACCAGCCTCGCCAACAGGGTGAAACCCCATCTCTACTAAAAATACAAAAATTAGCCAGGTGGACACCTGTAATCCCAGCTACTCGGGAGACTGGGCAGGAGAATCGCTTGAACCTGGGAGACGGAGGTTGCAGTGAGCTGAGATCATGCCACTGCACTCCAGCCTGGGTGACAGAGTGAGACCCTGTCTCCAAAACAAAACAAAACAAAGCAAAGCAAAGCAAAAACCTTTTACTGATATGGGTGGTGTGAGGGATCAAACAAATTTGGAGGCTACCGTTTTGGTAATTACTGTTTTCCAGGTGCCTATCGCAAAACAGGTGCTTAATATTGGGAGTGAGCCCTGATGTGGTGGCTCATGCCTGTAATCCCAGCACTTTGGGAGGCCAAGGCCAGAGGATTGCTTGAGGCCAGGAGTTCCAAACCAGCCTGAGCAGGATGAAGAGACCCTGTTTCTACAAAAAAGTTAAAAAGTTAACTGAGCATGGTGGCACACACCTGTAGTTCCAGCTACTGGGGAAGCTGAGACAGGAGGATCGCTTAAGGCCGGGAGTTCAAGGTTACAGTGAGCAATGATTACACCACTGCATTCCAGCCTGGGTGACAGAGCAAGACCCAGTCTCTAAAAACATATATATCATGTATATATGTGCACATATATGTATATAATTATACTGTTCCCTACTGGAAAATGAGTGACCCGATATCACTTACAAACGCTAGTGATACATATATATGTGTGTGTATATATGCACATATATGTATATAATTATATACATGTGTATATGTATGTATAATTATATGTTATATACATATTTATATAATTATATATACACATGTGCATATACACACATGTGTATATGTAATTATATATTAATATAAATATGTATAAATATGTAAAATACATATATAAATATTTGTTATATACATGTCTGTTTTATATATGTATATAGTTATATACACACATGAGAGTGAATGAATGAACAAGTGAATGAGGCTGCCTGGGTTGTCTGTTATAATGATCATATATGTTAGCCGGGTGACACTGGGCAAGATACTTCTCTTTCTTAGGTCTGAATTCCTCATCTGTGAAATTAGGAAGTTGGATCAGATTCCCTCCCAAATGCCGTCCAGCACAAGTGTTTCTAACTGATGTCCAGGTCACTCATTTTCCAGTAGGGGGCAGTATCATTTAGTCACTAATAATCATAGTTAATGTTTAAGTTGCAGTCATTACATGGTCCAAGGGCTCAGCATGTGTTAATTCACTTAGCTTCACAACAACCCCGCACAGGGAGAAGACAGGTACAGAGTACACATACAAGTTAAATCACTTGTTCAAAGCCACATACAGAGCGTGACAGAAGATACGTGCCCTACCCTTACCCCATACCTGACACCTTCGGTGCCGCCAGCTGATTTCCAAATGCTAGTGTCTGCATCTCTCTGCCTGAGGGCTGCCTTGGAAGCCACACAAGGAGGGCCCAGGCCCAAATCAGCCGGAAACCCTCAGTCCATACGGAGACTGGTGCCCGCATAGCTCCACTGGTGCGTAAACACTTCCTCTCCTAGGGAAAGGGGGCAATAGCTGCTGTGAGGAATTGTCTGGCCCTGCCCCCAGCATTCCCGATGGGATTAAGCTCAGTCACAAACAGTGATGAGGGGCTTGATGCCTCACCCTTTCTCATCCCCATGCCCACCTTGCCTAATAAGCTGCTTCTTAGGTCCCCAAATTCCCAAATTAAGACAAACCCAGAATTTGGACTCTTGTAGCCTGGCTGGAAAGTCTGGGCTCTTAATTTACACAATCTTCCTCCCAAAGGATGAAGCCTTTGGGTCTGTTGCATATGCCCGGGTTCTGCCATTTATCTGCTGTTATGGATTGAACTGTGTCCTCCCAAAAAAGCTAGTGGAGTGGTAACCCCCAGGTCCCTCTGAATGTGACCTTATTTGGAGATGGGCTCTTTACAGAGGTAATCAAGTTAAGATGAGGTCATCAGCATGGGCCCTAATCCAATACGACTGGTGTCTTTAAAAAGGGGACAGACGGGAGAACACTATGTGAAGATTGGATTTACGTGACCACAAGTCAAGGAACTTCCAGAAGCCAGGAAAGAGGCCTGGAACAGATTCTTCCCCAGCTTCTTCAGAGGGAATGCAGCCCTGTGGACACCCTGATCTCACACTTCTGGCCTCCAGAATTTAAGACAGTAAATTCCAGTTGTCTAAACCAGTCAGTCTGTGGTCCTTTTTTCTAGTTGCCCCAGGAAAACAACATGCCAGTTACGTGACATCACCGTGCCTCCATATCCCCCTCTGTAAACTGGGGACAATAAGGCACATTCCTTCACAGGATTCTTGGGAATTAAATGAAATAATGCATGTAAAAGGCTAAGCGTGAAGCCTGCTACATGGCTAGTGTCCACTAAATGGGTAGTTGTTATTGCTGTAACTGAAATAACAGACCACCACCACCACCCCACAACACACACACATACACACATATAACTTTAGGAAAGGGGATTTCTTGGATAAGCAGACAATTGACCCTCATGCTCCTTCCCTTTTCCTTCAGAGGGTCCAGGAGAACAACCTACCCGTAAATCTGACCTGGCCCAAAAGTTTAAAAAAAAAAAAAAAAAAAAAAAGCTTTAATGTTGAAACATCACTCAGGTTTTTGTGTTAAGAGGTAGGTGTTCTTTGGGAGGCTGAGGCGGGCAGATCATGAGGTCAGGAGATCGAGACCATCCTGGCTAACACGGTGAAAGCCCATCTCTACTAAAAATACAAAAAAATTAGCCGGGTGTGGTGGCGGGCACCTGTAGTCCCGGCTACTCGGGAGGCTGAGGTAGGAAAATGGCGTGAACCTGGGAGGCGGAGCTTGCAATGAGCTGAGATTGTACTACTGCACTCCAGCCTGGGCAACAGAGCGAGACTCCATCTCAAAGAAAACAAAAAAAAAGAGGTAGGCGTTGTAATGGGTTTTCTTCTTACAACTGGTAGAGCCCAGTCTGATGGCAGGAAAAGTGGTGATGATGCTGTTCTGCAAAATATTGGGAAGTATCACCCAATATTAATATTCTTAGTTGCAAACAACAGGATCCAATCCAGTTCGTTTAATTGGAAAATGAATGTATTTAAATATTGTATAAGGCCAGAGAGACAAAGCCTGAACCTACACAGACAAGAAAAAATATCCAATATCACAGGGAGCATGGGGGATTCTTTCATGAAATCCTCCCTGCCACCACCGCTTGGCAGCGCTGATGCTCAGAACCGGACGCCAGAAACTCCACCCCTGCCATCCCCAAAGAACCCAGTGAGGGGGTGGAGGGTAGAGGATGAAGGTGAGGATGCAGTGAGAATGAGGGCTAGGTTCAGAGAGTCCTGGATTCAAACCCTCAGCCTGTCATCCGTCCTGGGCAAAGGAGATGTGCTCATGCCCTCGTTTATTCATTCTTTACACAAATATTTACAGACTGCCTCCTTTGTGCCAGGCACTGTGCTAAGTGCTGGGGATAACGTGATGAAAGAACAAAGGAATGTGGTTTGTGTTCTTGTGGTGCTCAGTTTATCAAATACAGTGCTGAAGCAAGCCCATGGGGACAGGAAGGAGGCAGAGTTCTGCCGTGAAGGAGAGGGTTGAGGAGGAAGCAGAGAAGGTGCTGCACTATTTCAGAAGGCAGCCACAGGCCCTGTCTGGGGCATCCTCAGACATCAGCATCTCAAGGCAGCACAGGTGACAGGCTCTCTGCAAAGAGAAAGGAATTTGTTAATTATCATTGCTGAAGCCCTTGACTTGGACACTGTGCAGCTGGCAGATCCTAGACCCTCCCAGAAATGATCACCCCTGGTCCTCCCTGCAGTCAAGGCGACAGACAAGAAGGCAGTGAGTTTCCCTTGCCTGGGTGGTGGTGGCTCGGGAGCACTGCAGACTCACTCTGCAGGGTGGCTGCCTCAGTGTTCCCATCTGAAAAAGGGGAACAGGTAAGACGGCTCAGATTATTTCAGAGGTGCTTCTAGCAGTGACCTCCTGCCAAGTGGGCTTTTGGAAAATGTGTTAAGTTTGTGGTTTCACAGGACACATCGCCACTTCCTCCTCGGAAGGCAGCGAGAGCCTCAGCATCAGAGGAGGGACACTGTGCAGGTGCAAGGGGTGTAGGGCCTGTGAACTCTACCTCTTTGCCTCAGATCTTCCCTCCAGACCTGCTCCTCACCTTGCCCCACGCCCTGGGGTCCCGGCTGTCTCCCACAGCAGATCCTGGCTCACTCCTGCTTCTCCAGGAAGTGGTCTCCTTCCTTCTGCAGAGGCCATACCCAAAGGTCTTGCAGATCCTGGAGCTGGTGTTGAAGAAGGACCTGGGAAGGAAGGCTCCAGGTAGAAGGTAGGTGGCGGGGCTACCTAGACACAGGAGGGTCAACTAAGAGGATGGTCATCACAGAGGTCTATACAGCAAGCAGCAGAAACAACCAGCATGGCTAAGTGCGGTGGCTCACACCTGTAATCTCAGCACTTTGGGAGGCCGAGGTGGGTGGATCACCTGAGGTCAGGAGTTCAAGACCAGCCTGACCAACATGGAGAAATCCCGTCTCTAATAAAAATACAAAAACTAACCAGGTGTGGTGGCATGTGTCTGTAGTCCCAGCTACTCAGGAGGCTGAGGCAGGAGAATTGCTTGAACCTGGGAGGCAGAGTTTGCAGTGAGCTGAGATCATGCTACTGCACCACAGCCTGGGCAACAGATTGAGACTTCATCTCAAAAAGAAAAAAAAAAAAGGTAAAACATCTTGATGAATATTTAAGATTGGAATTTAAGTCTCTGCAATTATTCAATGTCTTCATTCAGCCACAGACTTCTTCACCTCTTTAGTAAACCATCAGGTAAACAGAGGGGGAAAAAAACCTGGTGAAATGAGAAGATTTGCATGGATGTGGAAGGTGTTTTCTTTTTGAAGCTAGAAATCACATTCTGGTAGATGATTAACACTTTAACTTGATCTTGAAGTCCCTGGAATGACTCATATTTAGATCTAAAGCTCTTGGGCTGAGCAGGGTTGGGTTAGGGTGCAGAGAGCAAGGCAGGACTGTGCAGGTGCAAGGTTGGACCCTGTCTTCATTTTAAATGTTTATATTTTGTTCATGGACTTTTAACATTAATTTTAATTTTTTAAACCATTGCATTAGAATGCAATTCATCTTGATGGCTGAGTTTTTTGACTTCTTACATTCTGTGTCCAAGACCTCATTAATCTCACCCTTGTCCTGAGGTAAAGCCCTGTCCCTTGGGGGTGGATGAATGAGCTGGATCTTTTGCTGAGAGCAGATTTGATGGAGACCCAGAAGGAGGGTAACACCAGAGCCCTGAGGAGGGAAGAGTGGGTGCCACAGAGTAGGAATCATTAGGAAAGGGAAGGCTGTGGTTCCTGAGGGCAGCCTCGCCTGCTGCGTAGCCCTACCTGGGGTTGCTACTCTTCCCTCTTCACCTTTTGATGATCCAATCAATGAGTTCCTGTACATTTAGAGCTCTAAAGTAGAATGATTTATCTGTTTTCTTTGAGTTGTACGAGTTGGAAATCTTTACTTGTTTAATGCTTTTTTTATTTTCTAAGTTTTCTATCATGAGCATATATTACTGCATTTAGGTATCAGGAAACAGCAAAGGAAAGACATTTAATTACTTATGTAAAGAACAGAATCATCTTCAACAGAGCAAAGCATTCTTACCACTCAAGAGACCTGAGACAGACCGAGGGAACAACACATATACGCAGGCCTTCAGTGTTTGCCTGGACTGGTGCAGTAGCCTACTCACTCAGCCACAGACTTCTTCATGTCTCTGTCTCCACCCTTGGTCCCCTACAGGCCACTCTCCACACTGCAGCCAGAGGGATCCTGTGACAATTTGAATCAGATCATGATGTCCCTGTCATTTCCCATCTCTCTTACAAAGCCTAAGTTTTTATACAGTCCTACAAGTCTTGTCCCCATAGCCTCTCTGACCGCATCATCTTCCACTCCCCCACCCCACCACTCAGCCCCAGCCACACTGGCCTCATCGCTGCTGTGCAAACACATCAGGCACAGTCTTCCTGAGGGCTTTGCACTAACGACGTCTTCTTCCTGTATTGCTCTTCTCCCAGCTGGTCACGATGCTCACTTACTTTCTACAGGTTCTGCTCTTTGACAGGTCTACATAAAAGAGCAGCACCTCCTTTACCCCCATTACTCCCTCTCCCCTTCCACTACTTTGTCTTCAAAATGCTTGTCATGGCCCACATATTATCTCCTTATTTTTCAATTGCCTGCCTCCCCCAGAGGGTAGGGTCCTTTGCTGTGTTTTCTTTACAGCTATGTGTTCATGGAGAATGATGCCTTGTAGGTTCTTGGCAAATATTTGTCAAGTGAACTAATCTGCTCAGGCTCACTGGTGCTGGGGATGGTGCTGCAGTCATTGAATAGGATGAGGATAATTAGGTTCCGTGGAAAAAAGTGTATTTGATCATGGTGCACCTCCTTATTAGGAATCGAGTTCTAATATGCTATAAATGGTCTCAACATGGGAGGTCAGAAGAGGGGATTATTTTTTCCAACTAGGGGATCGAGAGAAGTTTTTCAGGGATTGGCCCTGGATATGAGCTTTGTAGCACAGTTGGATTGGGACTGGAAGAGAAGAGGGTAGAAAAGTGGACTAAGGGATCGGCACAAGCCAGGTACCTGGGGAGTGGGGAGGACTTATGGCATGATTGTGAAACTGCCTTTGCAAAAATTATAACTGAGGAAATTATGACACTGAAAGAGGTCAGACCTAACCAACTCTATCTTGCTTCTACCCTTTAAGCTGTCCTTGTTCATTCCTGGGCATAGGCAGAACTAACCTTAGGAAGGAATTTAGTTGGTGGTTTGACTGAAACAAAATTGATACTAGCCCTTTCCAAAAAATACCTCCTTCTTACCTGGGGACCAGTCTGCCTTAAGTAGCTACAAAATTAGAAATTACAGTTTATGAGTCATGCAGCCTCTGACTGCAAGAGTTTGAACCTCCCCAAATTGCTCCTGGTGATACATCACTGTTGTAAAACCTAAGGTCAGTGCTTGATATATTTTGCAGAACCTGCACCTGATGGATCAGCCGACACCACCCAGACCGGTAATTATTAGGAATCTAGCTCTAACATGCAGCACTCTCATGCTGTGAGATTCACCAGCCTGAAGACACTCAAAGATCTGGAGAGGATAGTAGTCGAGACATAGGAGAGTAAGGGCCTGGAGTTATTACTAATATCCCAACAGCCTGAGAGAAGCACGCCTTGGCCCTCGAGCAAACCTCCAGCAAACTCTCAGAATACAGAACAAGTTTCTTGCTCTCTGCCTACAGGTGCCTTAGGCAGCTCGGCTGTTCCAGATCCTTCTGATTAACTTTTAGAATGGGGAAATAAAATCATGATTTCACATTGGATTTTTTTTTCCTTGGAGGAAGGAGGTAGGTAGACAAAGTCTTTGAGAATAAGACATTTTAGTAAAAAATGAGCAAAGAATCTGTGTGGCAGGCATCCCTACTGCGCAGATGAGGAAACTAAGAATGAGTAACTTACTCAAACCACACAGCTAGCAAGTGGTGGAGCCAGGACAAGATACCATTAAGCCACAACTCAATCATTGAAGAATCTGGCTTCTACAGGGAATTCTTTCTTTCTTTTTCTTTTTTTTGGAGATGGAGTTTCACTTATGTCGCCTAGGCTGGAGTGCAATGGCACAATCTTGGCTCACTGCAACCTCTGCCTCCTGGGTTCAAGTGATTCTCCTGACTCAGTCTCCCAAGTAGCTGGGATTACAGACATGCACCACTACATCTGGCTAATTTTTGTATTATTAGTAGAGATGGGGTTTCACCATGTTGGCCAGGGTGTTCTCGAACTCCCGACCTCAGTTGATCCACCCGCTTTGGCCTCCCAAATTGCTGGGATTACAGCTGTGAGCCACTGCACCCGGCCAGAGAATTCTTAAAATACAGATAACTGGTAAGGGTCTTGGAGAGGAACTACCCAAACTCATTTCTCCCCTGTTCCTGGGCCTCACCTTACCCACCAAAGAACAGGGATGAGTGAGTCGGGAGAGCTTTTTCCTAATACCGAATACGGGGTATTGTCAGAGGCATTTGAATCAGAGTGACTCCATTTTGAATAGGAGCTGGGTCAAATAAGCCTGAGACCTGCTGGGCTGCTTTTCCCAGAAAGTTGGGCATTCTAAGTCACAGAATGAGATAGGAGGTCGGCACAAGGTACAGGCCACGAAGACCTTGCTGATAAAATAGGTTGCAGTAAAGAAGCCGGCCAAAACCCACCAAAACCAAGATGGCAACAAAAGTGACCTCTAGTCGTCCTCACTGCTCATGATATGCTGATTATAATGCATTAGCATGCTAAAAGACACTCCCACCAGCACCCTGACACTTTACAAATGCTAACATAATGTCAAGAAGTTACCCTATATGATCTAAGAAGGGGAGGAACCCTCAATTCCAGGAACTGCTTACCCCTTTCCTGGAATACTCACGAATAATCCACCCCTTGTTTAGCAAATAATCAAGAAATAAGGATAAAAATAGCCAACCAGCAGCCCTCAGGGCTGTTCTGCCTGTGGAGTACCCACTCTTTTATTCCTTTACTTTCTTAATAAACTTGCTTTCATTTTACTCTATGGACTCACCCTGAATTATTTTTTGCATGAGGTCCAAGAACTCTCTTTTGGGGTTTAGATTGGGACCTCTTTCCAGTAACAATATCTTTTCCAACACCAACAAATTCTCCAACACCAACTAGGTGTCCACAAATTAATTCACTTCTGACACTAATTCCTGAGTTAGCACTGTAAACCAAAAGTATCTGAAACAAGTCTCAATTTTGGAGTTTATTTTGCCACGGTTAAGGACGTGCCTGTGGCACAGTCTCAGGGGAGGTCCTGATGACGTGTGCCCAAGGCGGTCGGCCTACAACTTGATTTTATACATTTTAGGGGGACATAAGACATCAATCAATACACATATGATGTACAATGGTTTGGCTCAGAAAGATGGGAGGAGCTTCCAGATCACGGGTGGATTCAAAGATTTTTTGATTGGCAATTGGTTATTATCTAAAGATCTGGAATCAATAGAAAGGAATGTCTGGGTTAGGTAAGGGGTTGTGGAGACCAAGGTTTCATCACACAGATTAAGACTCCAGGTAGCAGGCTTTGAAGAGAATAGGTTGTAAACACTTCTTATAAGCTTAAGTTCTATGTTAGTGTTAATGTCCAACTCCCCCTTTCCATCATGGCCTAAACTAGTTTTACAGGTTAACTTTGAAATGCCTTTGGCCAAGAGGAGGGGTCCATTCAGATGGGTAGGGGGCTTAGAATTTTAT